CGCCCGAAAACCTGCAAAGACGTCGGGAAGTGACCCGGCGGTAAACCTCCGACGCTCAAGTTAGTATGGTATCAAGAAAGGCACTGTATATATTTTAGGGTATTTTTGTAACATGTCTTGCCGTTTCTCTAGCATTACCTATTTATCCTTATTCGTCTAGCTTGCTGCCCACGCCTTGATATCTGCCTGTTAGATTTTCTAAGCCCAATGGACACTATGCTCAGCCCATATAAGTCTGGGACCCATAAGATGTATAACTAGGGGGCCACTATTATGTCTTTTGTGCCGAGCTAAAAGGACTAGCCCCCAAGAAGATTAAAAGGTCGAGCCCTTATTAGTTGGACCACTAATAAACTAATAAAGTCGAGCTCCATTTGGGCCGACCAACTAAGTGTCGGTTTACCGAGCCACTTTAATGTGCTATATCACATATGTCGATCCTTGCATTTAAATGTACGAGTATTATTGCATATACCTGTATAAAAATTTGCATAATCTTCTTACATTACATTCTATTATGTAGTATAGCTATAAGTTACTATTATTACTTTGTTGCGTGCCTTGGTTGAAGTTGCAGCTTGCAGTTGATACCAACTTGGTATTGGTTAACAATTATTGCAGTTGATTTTGTATGCATGTTCTTGTTTCATGTATGTTCTATTTGTGCCAGTGTCAATGGTATAGAGAATTTCAACTTTATATTCAAACATATTTTTCTTTGACTTACAGGTTCAGGGGAGTTGCTAATGATCTATTTCAGAAATATTGCAACCAAGTGTTGAATTGGATTGAGGAACAACTACAGCCCAATCCATCGACAATATGAATGGTTTGTGCTATTATGGTCCGGTTAGCTATACATTTCTGCTTCTGATTATTTCATAAAACATTGTTTCAGGTTTACTTGAGTTATGATCTTCAATGGGTAAATGTTAAATCATTATCCAAAAATATATGAGGGTTGATGATCCCTATGAATGGGATATATTCAATCCGAGCTGTTTGGTATATCTACCACTCATAATACTGTTGATAGAAGCATCAAACTGTTCATCATGGGTTTCATGATTATTTCAAAATTATATAAAATATTGAATTTTCTTCACATGTAAGAGAATCAAATGTCTTGGGTTTTTTTCATGCCAAATTCGGCCAATAGGAAAAAACAAATAATTCCATATTGTTATTATTATCCATGGGGGGTCACAACAATATGTCTACATATGATTTAACTGGTGCAAACTCTTGCTTATCTAAGTTTGTCATACTAGAGATTTGGTCTGAGGAAGTGATTTTTGGTACGATGATGAATCCTCTTATGAAGATTCCGTTGAGAAATTGAACAGAGCATCCGATATGGAGAGGGAGTGGGAGAGGAGTCATAATCAATTCCACACGGTATCCTACAAATTATATCCGATTAGATGGAATTTGACAAAGTTCTATTTCTTGTTATAAGTTCATTATTCCTGAATTTTTCTAATCATACCTCCTTCTATAATATTTTTTCGAGCTAGATAGGTTATCTTGATGGCCTTATTGCTGGGGAGGAGGCGGATGTTCAAGAGGGGTTTAATATTGGCTTTAAGGACTCCGTTTTAACCAGATACAACTGGGGTTTTGTCAGAGGAATCACCAGGTAAATTAAATAAAAAATCAAATGAAATGTCTTTGTTCTTGGTCAGTTATTTTTCTTACGGAGTGTTTTTTTTTTTGCAACTTTGTTAGGGCTATGTCGTGCTTGTCTGATGGGTTAAAGGAAAATTTGGTCGAAAAAGAGGAAACAAGATGCGAGTTTCGGAAATTGCATGAAGATGTGCAGTCTCTTTCGACAATGGATGCTTTGAAACTGTTTAATGAAGACCATAAAAGGAAATCACACAGTCGGAAAGAAATTGGAAATCCGGGGCCCACAGAGGCAGTTTCAAATTATCAAAGTTTGGATATTGGTGTTGTCGAGAATTACAATGGACAACTTCAGTCACTGCTCTGTGAGTTCTCCATGGCTGAGAAGATTGTTTTTCAGTGAAATAGTTACAGGGGTTTTTCAAGTTATATTAAATTTTGAAGGATCTCAAGTACCCAATGCATAGTAAGAGTTTTCCATTTCAGAAGACACTGAACTTTTATCGTATATTCAACTTGACTTTAAACATGAATCATCATTCTGAAAAAAAAATCTATGGACTCCGAAGAGGCTTTAATTCATGACTGCCAATTGAGAACTCTGAATTTCCTTTCATATTGCATGGCTAATTCTTTTTTATCAATTGAACATTCATTTAGTTAGTGATAGCAGGAATATTCGAAATAATTAAAACATTTTATTGTGCTTTCTGTCACTTTTAAAGTTGCTTAATAAAATGTTTGCTTAATGTGCAATTTGTTGGAAACTGAAGGAACTCTTGTTCTGTTCTACAAATAGGTTCATTGTTAGTTCAGTAACAATCATTTTAGGGCACATTTTTTAGACCAGACTACATTAGACAATTTTTTTCCTGTTGTCCAAGATTGTGGTCCAAAAATGTATTGTTGAGATCATATGCCATCTTTGTTTGTAGTTAGACTTTTTCAAGGTAGGATTTTGTCATCTTTTTGTGCTCCACATTTGTTTCCTTATATAAAATAAAGGATAAAATATGTGAATTACCTATATGCCCCTAATTTAAAATGCATGATAAACCAAAACCCATGACACTTTTTATATAAAACTAGTAAAGTGCACGTGCGATGAACGTAATATATAACTTACATTTTAATGTGATTTTAAAATATATTTTCTCTTTTGTAGTTTTATCGTCTATTCAATTTTTTGCATTATTATTTTCTATTAATCAAATAAAAGAAGTATAGTACATAATGAACTGTGTCAAATATATTGAAAGTTAAAATACAATTTTCAAAATAATAATACCTAAAAGTCATGGTGGAATTGATTGAATGAAATTTTTGGTTGACAAGCTTTCATTATTTAAGTTAGTCTTGTTTATTCAAAATCTTAATGCAACACCCCGCTTATCAGAGTAATTTTTTCGCAACTTTTGTTTTGAAAACGCTTATAAACTTTTTGATATCATTTGCACTTAACTCGGGATGTTGCTAAAACTTATCTTCTTTGCAAATCCATTTTCTTGAAACTTGGTCTAACGGCTGTATAAGACATAAGAAAAAACAGATTTTAAATATTGAACAAGCATGTAAAACTGTACCCGTTCATACTGCAAACCGACTAAATTATTAATGTATGAAATTACTGTCATGCACGTTCGAATCTGAAAAGCGTAGTGGAAGTCTTAAGCGTGACATAATTATACAGACATAAATTTTATTAAAAGTCCACAAATGGCAACTTGGCCAAGTCCACGACCAACATCACCAAGACTACTCTCACACCTCCTTGCCGACCATGTCACCTAAAAAACATAACAATGGGGTGTGAGCACTAAATCACCATGCTCCATGAGAAACCATATTAAAGTAAACAACAATAATAATATTAATGTCATGATCGCAGGTGAAACTGAAACTGAAAACTCCCGGTCACTCTGGCCGGTAACCGTGTGGACACTCTGATGGCATATTAAGGCTACTGGCCTCCACCACAACTTAGGATGACATATCAAGACAATTGTCCTCCACCCTAAGTGGATAACTCATATATTTGACATGATAACAACTATTACACTCAATGTAATACCCAGGCTGGGTTCGCACCTGTTCTACTTTGAAAAACTGTAAGTGCGGTGCTGGGTAGCTGACTCCTCAAGCTACATAAAAATATAAGCTAATAAATACTAAGTACTATGCTCGTAATATGCTCAATAAGATGCTAAGATACTCGATTCTATCAGATAACTTATCCGGATATACTGAAACGCTTAAGGGTTCACTAAAATCATACTAAGTCCAGAAATTAAACTGATATGCTTAAACTGAACTGATTTAGCTCAAAAAATACTGAAATTTTGGAATAATACTCGGACCAAAATTCTCTAACCATAACTGACTCAAACTGCCGGTCAAATCGGCCGATTCGCTGACTGGCTAGACCGTCAGCTCGTTGTGGGCCGGGCGGTCGGGTGCTGCTCGGACTGACCGGCCTCGGTCCCGTGCAGGGCCTACTGGTGTGATGAAGATGTGGTCATCGACCCATCCGATCCCGAGGACGAGACCGATATGGGTTTAGAAGAACGGCACACGAATGTGCATAAGCGCGAAAAAAGGGCGCGGACACGGAAGAGGGGGTGCACGCATGGCGGGCGAACGGTACGCATACCGGCAGTAAGCGTCAGCTGAGCGGCAAGGCGCGCGAGCCTAAGATGCATGTGGAAGGAAGGGCTACGCGATGAGAAGTCTGCGCAAGGAGGCACAGTGGAACGGGGCCGAGTGCTCGGGTGACTAGTGCAAGGCGTATGCACGGGAACGGCGCGCACAACGCTTGGAGGCTAGGGGAGACGGTGCGCGAGGGGAGGATGTAGGGTGGTCAGCGCGCACATGGGACGGCCGCGAGCAGACAATGACGGACGCGAGAAAGCGCGCGGTGAGCGAGCAGGGCGCAAGAGTCGACAACATGCGCGGGACGCCGGAGATCGCGGGAGCGATGCCGAGGAAGCGGGCGTGCGGGACACTTACGCGTTGGGCCAGAACGCGCGAGAGAGGGGCAGTGGGTGCACGGCGCACGCTGCAGGCGACCCATGGGGCCGAGACCACCGAGGACAAGGAGTAGCGCGCGAAGCACGCCGCCTAGGGTTCGACCGATTGGATGCGATGCAAGAAAAGTGATGGGTGGTTGATTTACTTAGCTTTCTTATGAATTCTAGTATGGTTAGGATCTTGAATAAAAGCCATGTGATTCTTAGTATTTTCTTTACATGGTAATTCTTAGATGATAGGATATTTAGTTTTCTTAGTAGTTTATTTACTTGCATGCTTTAGAAGTTCTAGTTAGTGTAGGACTAGATTAATTTGGCATCTATAAATACCCATGTACTCTTATTATTTTGAGAAGTGGATGAGCTTATGGAAAATCGAACGTGAGTTCAAATCTCGGTGTTTAGAATTCGTGAGAGTTTTATCATACAACCGAGTTAGCGAGACTAAGACCCAAGTTATCTCAAAATCGTGAAAGGCAAGGCTAATTACCAAATCGTTCGCAACATATCGTCGAGAGCAAGCCACGGCGAGGCTAGTTTCGAGACAAATGAGTTGAGAGAAACACACGATCTTCATCATTGGTGCTTTCATTGAGAGTGATTGATTGTGTGTTAAGTTAGACTTTATTCTTCCTCTCTCTATTTTCCTTTCTTTGAAATTTTTCTTATTTTTTCGAGAGTATAAAAAAAGAGAGAGAGAGAGAGAGAGAGAGAGACAGAGAGAGTCATGACAAACCGGGAGAGATTTGAGATGTTAGAAGAAAGCATAAAGTCCATTGACGACGGGCAACATGTCACCAACGAGAACATGGCAAAATTGGAGCTCATGGTGAACGATTTGGCCGAGAGACTCGCACGGGCCACACGCCATTCGCGGAGGAGCCATATGTCGAGGTCAACCACGGTGCGATCAAGCAGCACCGAGGCCAACCACGAGGAGTACGATCGGCGTTCGCGGAGTACGCGCGCAACGCGTACATCACACCAGCCCGAAGAACCGCGACAGCGTGAGGACCGCACCTATGCACGACCGAAGGTCACCATGCCAACGTTCACGGGGACCGACCCAGACGCATGGCTAAGTTGAGCCACCCAGTACTTCGAGATCAATGATGTGCCGAGGAACGAAATAGTTAAGATCGTCGCCTATTATCTAGACGGTGAAGTTAATGTGTGGTGGCAATGGGTGTTGCACAAGAACAAAAATGAGCTCATGCGATGGAAGGACTTCGAGAAGGAGCTCATCACGCGATTTGGGTCTAGCGACTACTATGACTATGATGAGGCCTTATCGCGCATAAGTCAAAACGGTAGTCTTCGCGACTATCAAAAAGAATTTGAGCGCATTGCTAGACGAGTACGCGACTGGCCCGAGAGTGCGTTAGTGGGCACGTTCATTGGAGAGCTCAAGGCCGATTTGGAGCCGAGGTGCATTTGGACAGGCCACGATCTACACGAGCTGCCATGGAATCCGCACGGCTACATGAGGATCACATAGCCGCCATGCGCAAGGCCAACCGGGGCGAGGGCCGAGCGGACGCACAGCGCGCGAGCGCGGCGATCGACGAGCAGCCCCCACAGGCCAAGACCAAGCCTGTCGACAACGGTGCAAAGACAACGAGCCACGTACGACGACTTACTACTGAGGAGATCCAAAGAAGACGCAAAAAGGGGCTATGCTTCACTTGTGGAGCATAGATGTGCGGAGAAGCAAGTATTTTTGCTAGAGTTCGATGAGCAAGACAAGAGGAGTACGAGCACAAGGACAGGGAAGAGACCTTGCTTTATTTAATTTAAAAGCAAAAGGGGTCCCAAGATGATATTGTTCACAACAATCGTACAAGGGGAGGAACTCGATGTGCTAGTGGATAGCGGATTAACTTTGAATTTCATAGACGAGGAGTTGTCCAAAGGATTGGAGGTACCAATGACTAGCGTGAAACAATTTGGGATCAAGGTTGCGAATGAGAGGAACTCAAAAGCTCAATGTTGTTCAAGAAGGTTCCCATATGCGTACAAGGCGAAGATTGTTAGAGATATGTTGTAAAAGTTATGTTTTGCAGATCTATCGATTCCATTTTGATCTGGCCATCATGTTCCAGTCAAAGTACATATGCTTGCAGTTTATTTATTTATGCAAATCATACTCCATGTCTTATATTGAGATAGTGTGGTTCGAACGGTTTCGAACAGAAAGATCACCTATATGTTCCTTATAAGACTAAATTATTCGTTCACAGTAATCGAAGGCCTTGAGTGCGCGATTATTCACAACCTGAATAGACAGAAATCCGATCCGTCATCACGCGTTGATGCGGAAGTGGCTAGGCAGCTCAAGAACGCTGCAAG